TCCCTCTTCCACCCCCATGGTGCCAGGTTGGAGCCAAGCTGCCCTTTGCTCCCCTCCATGTGGTTGGATGGGGCTCTACTGTGACCTCCCCAAGCTGGATTGGGCCTACTGGCTGAATCTGGTCTGTGGACAGTCTGGGCACTGCCCATCCCATCTGCTGGTCAAAGGTTGAGCACCACTGACTTAAGACAATACTGAAACTGTGGAATGTGAAGTGGGTTAAAGTTGGAACGGTCTGTCAGCAGTCACACATTAAAGGTGAATACTGTTTCTTGCCTATATAGCTATGATTTCCCACTACAGGGCTGACAATCAGGGGCCTGGCTAGGAGGCAGGACATTTGGGCTCTATCTGTCTTGGTTGGGTTCAGCTGAGAGTGGTGCACTCTAGGATGCTAAAGGAGTGCAGAGTCCTATTTTAGTTTGTGGAGCAGATTGAAGTTACCCTAACAGGTGCCAGGTAGTATGGCCCATAGTTAACGCTCTCCTGAAGTGGTGCAATTTTGAGATGGTAGCATGAGCTAGTGAGCTTTAATGTGCAGACACTCATGTTTAAGTGTCTTGAATATGGTCTAAGTGTAATGTGTAAGTTCACCCTTAGATGCGTTTTGCTTGTAGTTCTTACTTCTTTTTGTCTGCTCCAATTATGCTAGTCAATACTTCGACACAAGGAAGACTAAAAGCGATTGATTGATCCTTACTGGTGTAATGTCACTGAAGTTACACCAAGGATGAACTTGGTCCAGTATATTTTGTGGAAGTGTGTAGAAAACTTCAGTTTCTAAGCCATGCATTTACTAGAGCCAAGTGTAGTGTCCTCACTCTTGGATATCAGTGGGGAACTTAATGTTTTTCACATATTTAATTCCCTGTAGCACACAGTTGAAGCAGGCTTCGGGCTGGGAGCAGAGGCAGGGAAGAATAAATGCTGTTTGACTATAAGAGTAGAGCTGCATTTAAAACTTGTTTTAAGTGTCTTAAAATAATATGATCAATACAATGTCAACCACTTAATTCAATCACTGGTTAATTGGATCCTCTTTTTTAATTTAATCAAAACCACAGGAACCAAATCATTTGTATGAAAAACAACACAACTTCCATGCTTTATTATGGTCAATCGTGGATAATCCATTCTTGAGCTACGGCAAACCACCATTTAATTAACCAACTTTCACAACCCCTCACTTTGCCAGAAGAGAAGATAATTGAAACACTAAACATAGCAAAATGTGTTTTGAAATAGAGCTTGGTGTTTCCACTCAGAAGCTTTTTCCTTTGCTTTTCTGACTGTTGATTAATGACTGCTTACATGAAACATGTTGTGAATACTTGTTTTTTCTTCCTGATGTTGAGAGATGCTAACAGTTTTTTAGTTCAGTTGTGAACGAGGAATCTTACGTTCCAAATGGTTTCCTTGTGCATACAGACTTAGATGTGATCACCGAATCATAGGCAAACAATCTTTATTTTGATTTGTATTATCTAGAGCGTACGAACTCCAGTTGTTGTTAGGACCCCTTTGTGAATTGTATTGTACAGACATAGAGCAGAAAGGAGATCCCCGCTCCAAAGACCTTACCATCCAAATGTAAGACTCAAGAGTAAACGGATAAATACAGATAAACATATAGGGGATACAAGGAAACAATGGAGTAATGCTGACTTCTATGTTAGGCAGTAGTGTCAGGGCTCAAGTGGCTAAACTGTCTGGGTTTTTTTTAATAGAGATCAGTATTTCAGGTTATCTTGCAGGATTTATCCTTTGGTTTCTAATCAGGGCTCAAGCACAATTCCACATTAGTTATAAGGTTCTTAATGCTTTGGGGACTCTGGGGATGATTCTGATCTATTTTATATCAATGTAAGGTGCGATACGATACTGTTGACTGCAGAGCGGTGGGAAGCTGACCTAAGTGAGCTCTGAAGTGTACTCCAGCTCTTTCCTTGTGCAGCTCTGTGGCTTTTCAAATGTAGCTGAGTTGTCAAAACTTGACAGGTCCTCAGTGAAATGGGAAGCAGTTTGATGACAACATATCCTCATTGAAGAGCCCTTAAATCCCCCATCATGGCTTAAAAAGGACCAGATCATTTTCCCTTTGGTGCCTGATCAAGTCATGTCCGCCTGCTTGCCCACCCGGAGCAGAGTGTGCTGCTTGGAGCATGGCGCAGCTGGCACCAGAGCTGCTGTGGTGAGGAGGGAGGCAGCAGTGGCAGTCCTCAGAGGAGCAGTTGCAGGCACCACTGGGGTAGCTGGTGTGGGTGCAGGGTGCTGGATGGGGAGAGGAGTGGATTTATCTCCTCACACAGGGTATGGGCAGTACAGCACCTTTAAAGGGGTCTCATGGCATCCTTAAAAGGATCTCAAGAAGCACTGACCTAGACCTTAAATCATACCGGAGTAAATGGGTAGTTCGGTGT